ACTTGGAGAAACTTTTATCTAACGAATGATTCTTAACTCTTTGATTTCGGTTGATCCAGCACCAAGTTATGAGGGGCACGGCAATTTTACTTTTTTCCGAGATGCATTTGAATAATTGCTTTTGCCGTATTTTCAAATATTTTTTCGTGAAAATTTTACACAATATTTTTCGAATATAATACTTTAATGCAAAATTGGTTTTATTTAAGAGATTTCAACTGTGTCGTCACAAAAATTTGCTTGTTTTTGCACGAAAACTTAATAGAGAGAATAAAAACGGTTTGTTGGGACTAGCAATGGCAGAAAAATATTTATATAATATCAATTTTGTGTCAGGCTACCCCACAAGCATTAGTCTTAATTATTAATGATATAAAAAAAATAAGTTTTTCTTCTCTCCAGTAAATTCCCTGTCATCAATTATGTGCTCCTCTTCAGTCTCTCAGTGTGTCGTGTATTTTATAACACATTTATGTTATGATTTATGTACACGCCCTAAAGCTGATGTACGATATATCAAATGCCTGACAGCAGACGTTTAAAATTTTTTTGGTCATTGTCAGCGCAAATGACAGTCTTGCATCAAAGCATAAATCAACAAATAAGAGCACATGTATGATATTTGCATATATTCTTTGAAGGGATAAGAAAAAGAGCAAATTTTTACTTACTTCTAACTAATCGTCATTGTGTATCCATCAGTAAATATTAAAACTTCGAAATATAAATAACGGCAACGGAAATAACTTGTCATTTAAGTTACTTTACATAAATGTGCTCTTAGTTTTTAATACATTGTCGTCTTTAGCTTTAGTAGTTTATTATAACGTATACATATACCGTTAAATGTGCTGATGGACATGTTTATAGCACAAAATATTTTTGTACTTTTTGAAGATTTTGCACAGCGTATAATGGTTTGCTCTATTAACAGTTAGAAAGTGGACAATCCCAATTTGGAAGTTAAAGTCCAATTTATGAGAAAATTCATCACCCACTAACTGGGCAGCTGATTTGGACCAAAATTGGTTCTTTTCCCATAACCACCCTTTTAAAGAAGAATTTTTCGTATATAATATCGTTTTTAATATTGATTTGCAAAAAAAATCAAATATCAAAAACCGATAAAAAAAAATATAATTTTGCATAAATACGAGGTTTGTTCAAAAAGTATCGCGAATTTTGTATTTCTTAAAACACTACTTATTTATTTATGAATATTGAATATGTCCCCTTTAAAGTAATCACTCCTAGGTGTAATGCGCTTATGCCAGCGTTTTTCCAATCCTCAAAGCAGTTAAAAAAGTAATTTTCGGTGTTCAGCTTCTCTTTCGATACAGTTTTTATCTTCTCAATCGTAGCGTAGTATCGTTCTTGCATGGGCCTTTTCAGTTTTGGGAATAAAAATGTCACAGGTTACCAGGTCTGAGGAATACAAAGGCTGCGGCACCATTAATGTGTTGTTTTTGGCCAAATATTAATGCAAAAGTAACGATGGGTTATCATGGCGCCAAAGCCAATTTTTTTCTTCCACAAATCGGCGCATTTCTAACGGACTGCTTCGCTCAAATTGCGCACAACTTGCAGTTATATTCTTTATTGACCGTAACTGAGCAAAACCTTCACATTCGACCAAACATAAAAATTTGATACAAATTCTTTGATCCATTTTTTGAACTAAGCAAAAATCGAAGACGAACTAAACATTCGAAATAGTCGATGTTGTCAGCATAAGTAAGGGGATATGAGTACCAACATAACGCAACAAAACAATCGAAAATATATGGCAGCTCTGATTTCAAAATGATTAAAAGTGGTCCAAACCATCACCTAGCCCCCTTATACCTAATAGAATGATATTATTTCTTCCAGTTGACTTGATACTTAGTACTTAATACTTGTATTAAGAATATTTGTAATCGGCGGGGACTTCTGCTTTCTTGCGATTTCTAGTCAAGCGACATCCTTATAAGGCTGTCTGGAGTCTTTTTCAGAGTATCCAGCGTCATTTTCTGCGATTTCCTCTATCGTTAAACTCTTTCTATGTTATCAGTCCATACCTTCCGGAGACATTAATGCTTCATGAATATACGATATATATTTCAATTATTCTTGCGTTAAGTCATAATCTCAAATATTCACTCCAAACGACACACTATACGTCCTATGAGGTGAGGAAAGATATTTGTTGAAGCAAAGCAAAGAGAATGCCGACATAACTAATACCGAACTAGTGTATGTGAACTAGATTACTCGTAGGTGTACTGTCATTGACACGTACCATATATTTTAAGAATTTTTTTCCATAACGCTTCTTCGTCTAAAATTTTAACCGTTGCCCGGAGTTAGAAAACATTTATTTTGTACAGAAATACATATATTATATATATTTATATATTAGAGATATATTTGCTTCAAAAAAAGGCAAGTTTCATGGTTCCAGAATTTCCTGCAGGGGTTTGTCTACTATTTGGATCTATATATTTATGTGTTGGATCAAATTACTTTACCTAGTTACCTTTTTTCTTTTAATTTATTATATCAAAGTGCAAATGTGAGCCATGGGTGACACGTTATCGCAAAAAGACTTCAAGCTTATACATGCAAACATACATAACCTCATTCCCGTAAATGTAACATAATTTGCATACACAGACTAGCATACATACATGCATACATTAAAGTGTTTAGACAATTTAATCGCTCTAAAAAAGTACAAATCGGATTTTATTGAAATTTTCATGTATTCTTAATTTGCATTCGCATGGACTGTTGAACGTTAAAAAATTACAACATATCGTGCTTTAATGTTCGTTTAAGAAACTCCCTTTCTCAAACCAAGCTATCCAAAGCCTAATTTTTAACACCTGCTGTCCGCTACGTTATCTGCTGGGTAAAGATACAAAACATACATATTTTCATAAATACATTCCGTAGAAAATAGAACAAGCTGTAAACTCATCCGTATGGCTATCATAAGAACGGCGTATAATTTCAACTTTTCTCATTTTAATTAATAAAAGCAGTTCTCCCTACAAAACAAAAAAAAAGCGCCGCAAAAAATAATTATCAAAGAGCGAAGAAGAATAACAAAAAAGCTTAAATGTAAAACTATGGCTCGTTAATGATGGTAAAGTTCAACAAAGAAGTTGCTTAGGTCAACAACAAGTTATTCATTAATTTTGACAGTAAACACGAGTTTGAGTTTTAATGATTGTATATATTTTTGTGACTTTTTCTTTTTATTCTTGATGCTATAAGCTAGCGTTTCACAAGTTCATTCATTACTCAGTCTTTCCAATGCAGAGGAAGTCTAATTTTACCACTACTAATACCAATTGATTTCGTAATCAATTTTAGGTGAGTCTAAATCAATTCAGGTAGCATATTTAAAAAAAATATTATCGATGGGTTTTAGTTCGCTAAAAAATTCGAAGTGATACAAAATGTTTACAACTTTGCGGTTATAACGGTTTGAAAAGATGCAAAAACAAGAAAAAACGTTAACTTTAACCCTTCACTAATACAAAGGTTCCTTACAAGAACTTGATTCCGTTCAGTTTGTATGGCTGATATATGTATACTATAGTGATCTGATCTAAACAATTTTTTCGAAGATTGTATTATTGTCTTAAATAATAATAGATGCCTAATTTCGTGAAGATACCTCGTCAAATGAAAAAAGTTTTCTATACAAGTACTTGATTGCGATTGTTCAATTTGTAAGGCAGCTATATGCTATAGTGGTCCGATAGTTTCTTAGTGAGGAAAGGACAGGTGCAAAATTTCAAATAGCTTCAAAACCGAGGGACGAGTTTGTATATATACAGACAGACGGACATGGATAGTCAAGTCAGCTCATCATGCTGATCATTTATGTATATATTTTATAGGGCCTCCGACGTTTCCTTCTGGGTGTTATAAACTTCGTGGCAAACTTAATATACCCTGTTTAGGATATAAAAAGATGCACTTCGCCTTCTCCTCGTTTACCAGTAGACCGATTCTCTTCCGCTGCTCTAACATTAATTCAGTTTAAATATATTTTTAGAAATGGGTTTTAACTTGAATATTTAGTAACTAGAGGAGAAAAAAGAGAATAAATAACACTATAAGGTTTATGTTTCTGGATATAAGACCAAACCAATTCAAGAGACATGGTTCCAAGTAAAAAAAGTAATTTCTCCGTTTTTCGAAATTAAATTCCAAATCGAAATACTTAAAAATATTTCGAAATTGAGTTTATTGAAAACATCATTACCATGCGTAAGTTCCTAAAAAAGTAAAAATATGAGCATCATATATGCTTCGCTCTCATTTAAATGGAGTAGTATTAAATTTTTGAGTCAAGCTTATAGACAGATGTTATAAGGTTTCAAAGTCGGTATTTTTGAAATACAAAAAATTTTTTTTTCGAAAATTCGACTTTGATCTCATATAGCATCTATCCTATAAGCTTGACCAAAAAATGCTGTACACAAATGAAATAAAAAGAAGAAAGCGAATTCTGTCCATATCTTTAATTTTTTCGTAACTATCAACTTACTATATGTCTTTAGATAAGCCTAATATTCAACTTCGAAGACACATATTTCGACTTTGGTGGCTGCTAACTTCGGAAATCGGCGAAATTAATATTTTACTTATAATATTTATCTCTCGTAAAAAATTGGTTTGATCTAATACCCAGCCGAGTGTTGTACAGTCTTATATAATTGTCGAACATACAAAAAAAGGAAGCACAGCTACTAATTTAATAAAATGACCAAAAATAGCAACATCAATGCAGTTAACATACGCGCTCGAATTGCTCCTCCATCACATTTTTTGTGGTACAAATTTCATTAACTTCGCCCGCCAACAACAAAGTGAAGTACTGAAAGCAAATTGGTCTAAAAATGTACAGCAACGCTAAGAATTGCGATAATGACAAATAATTGTAACACTCAAACGCCGAACTACCTGACTAGAATTATGAATCTGCAAGTAGTTTTTCTTACTCTTCTTGCACTTATCCGTTACGCGCTAGTAACTGTATGTGTGTACATGTTGTTAGCTGCTGTGTCCACTTCAAACACCTGAGACCAATCAATACTGCAGACATCTATTGTATATGCCCCTGTGCTGTTGTCGAGGATGATATTCATCCTTCAATAATTTATAACACATAAAAGCTTTTAGCTGCTATTTTTAATCATACACAATTCTTTAAAAAACGCTCATAATTGTCAAGGTTTTATACTTGTATAACATTTTTTCTTCACTTTATATTTCACTACAAATTTACGGAAGTAAAACTTTGCCGCGCTTTTTGCCGTTTTGTTTTTACTTCATTCTATAGTTAATTATTAATAGCCAAACAAACGCAATTTTTCCTCAGACAAGTAACATTTTTGCGACAACCTGTTTGAATCCTGCCGCTGTTATCAGTCAACTGATGCGCGTTCTAACTTCATGCAACATTTGGAGCCCTCCAAAGCAACAATTGTGTTATGCCTCGAGCTTTTCTGTTACACTGAAAAGCATAAAAGCTCCTCAAGTCCTATAAATAAACGCGTGTGTACGAAATTGTACCGATAAGTACTGACTACTACCAAAGAAAAAACGAAAACTTTGCCGATTAACGAAATGACACTTTATTACTCAACATTATCTCTTCTCAACTCCATACACTTTAAGTCGTACGAAAAATATGTTTTCTGGATGTCTGTAAAGTATGCTCAAATTTGTTTTCTGAAACTGGCAAGTTTAGGAATCAAAAATAAGAAGTTCGTAACCCTATTTAACTGTGGTGACGGGGGCGATCTGGGCTGGCACATTGTTATGATGGAAGAGCATTTTTTTCCTTGACCAATTGCATAGTTTTTTTTCTGCAATACGCCGTCGAATTAACCCAATAATTTAGCACATTAGGGCATGCAAGCGTTTTACTTAATTTTCTCTATGTAATCCATATATATCATATATGTATGTAGATAGGACAGTCTTCGCCTTTATCGGAGTACAATAGTAATTTTCTCTTGTGATAGTGCCGCCATCGGGCGATGAGGCTAAGTACTTGTCGGACCGTCCTCGTCTGTATTTAGCGCAAACGCTGTTCCCTTATCAATGTGGTAGACAGCATGCCGCCTGTAAAATTGTAACATGCTTACTAATATACACCAAGTAAACCAAAATTTACTTAGAATATAAAAGAATATTAAAAAAAAAAAATAACTCTAAAAATATTTTTTTTTGTGTTATCTTTTATAAACCTTGAAATTGAATTGGTTATGACTCAATGCAGGGATGAGTAGTAGGGTACAGGCCGCTTCCATCGATCCCTCCTTCCAGTAATAAGTGCAATCTCGCCCTATTACACTTTTGCCCACGAAACCAATGGACAATATCCCGATATCTATCAATGAATAATCAGTTGAATAACGAAAAAATTTAAATAATGTTTTTTTATAAACTTTGAGTATTTAGTTTTAAATACCATATCTAAAAAACATCTTTTCATATTGAACATAGGTTTAGATTTTTGTTACTGCAATCACGTTTCAAATACAAAAATGTTTGATCCTACTTATTTTCGTACTTTCACTGGTTGAAAGTCTTGCTCGGAAAACAATTCTTAAACAACTTTTTTAGTAACTTCATCCACCGTCTTCTGGAATTTGATAGAAGGGGAAACCCCTCATTTACTCACTACAGACGAAAAAAAAAATTGCTTCACATGTTGTGCTCTGCAGCATTTTTCAGAAATATTGAAAAGCGTTTTTAGGAAATTTCGCGATTTTATTGGAAGCGTCGGTAAAGTTTTATTCATATATTCAGGAAACGGGACAGTCACTACACGTTGAGGTCTAATATTAAAATTTTAGAGACCGCATTAAAACAGGGTAAGGGGTCTCTAAAATTTTGAAATTGGACCTCGAAGTGTAGTGCCTGTCCTGTTTCCTGTATTCAAAGTCCAAATAAATTATTTGTATTTCTATTTGAAAAGCTTAAACTTTAAAATCTTTGTTTCGACAAAGTTTAAAGGTTTTTGCCTACTGTGTAGGTTACTGTTAATTCAAAGATTCTCATATGTGTATGTGTATTGTTCGTCGGTATTCGTATGTGTATAGGTTTATTTATATTTCGTAATGGCCTCGTACGCGTATCAACAAGGTTATGCATAGCTGCAAAAGCATGCTGCAGAGAAGGATGTATGCACATACTTATATACACAGGATATATACGAGTTCATAAATATATGGTAGTGGGAATGAGAATGATGATTGCTTCATTTCTGCTGCTCTTGCTCTTATCAACTGCTAGCGGAAATTTGTGGTTTTTTGTACAGGGCCCTTTTGGCCCTGACCACATGGCTGCTCCATTCTTCGTTTTTAGAGCCATTTAACATTTTTGCTTTGCTCATTTTACTTATACACGCTTCTGTGGCAATGAGAAATAACAACTAAACTTCGTTTCGGAAGATTTTCAGAAGCTTATTTGAAGAGTTGTATGCTGTTGCTACTGAATCCAGTTATTTTTTAGGCTGTCGCAACATGTTACAGAGGGCATAAAGGGTTGTTTGTAACACCTTAAACTAATCGAGAAACTATCTATAGCGTTATGTATATTACAATAATCCGGATGACGAGTCGAATTAATTTCCGAAGGTCTAACTGTCTATTTATAATTAAGCTTCAAATTAAAACACAAAACTGCAATTTCATTACAGCATAGCAGATAGATTTCATACATCGTAGCAGATAATTTTCAAAACGGAGGCGTTACTCTATGCTAGCTCAAGAACTACTCGACCGATTTCAACGAAATTTAGTGCATGTAGTAAGTAGTTCCTATGTTACATTGTGAAAATGGGCGAAATCGGAGTACAACCGCGCCCACTTTCCATCTATCACAATTTTAAATTCTGTGTGGCTTTTTCATTGTACAGTAAATAAATCAAATACCAATGGAGATATCGAAAAAAAATCTTTCCCAAAAGAGTGCCTTTAGCGTATGTCATCTCACGTCTAAAAATTGTCGAACTGGGGTTGAAACTTGCCAGACTCCAGGTACCAAATACCAGTTCTATGACTGACTTTTCACCGAAAATATCGGTCGATATGTAAGATTTATTAGTGAAATTCAGAGAAAAGGTTTTCCTAATATATTCTTCTTCTCTTGTATAAAAAATGTGCTAAATACTTCCCCTAGTTCCCATAAAATGAAACTCGGCGAGCATCTATTTCTGGTAAAATGAATAAAATCAGGTCAATACTATCCGTAGCCCCTGTATACCTAATATAAAAATTTCAAACTTCTGGTTGCCTTTATGCCGTTAAATCGTTCAATATGGGAGATATCTTACATTATAGTGTAATCTCGAAAATATCTGAAATTAATTATCTTTACTTGTTTTATAAACAATTCATTGCTCATTTTTTGATACAAAATTTAACCTTCTGTTTACAGATCCACAATTTGTCGGAAAATTGTTCTAAAGCTAAAAACAGCTTGATGTTATGCAAAAAGCTTTAAGCCGCCATCGAAAGACTTGTAGATTCCATGTTTGCTTTTTGATAAATATGACAGAAGTACACTTTGAGAAATACCCTATTAAACATTTTTAGTCAAATTTGCCTCTAGTAGCCACTATTTAATACAAAATTTATCTAATTGGCTAATTATTAGCATACTACATCAAGCCATTCTTTAAAATAATATTTGCTAATATAGTCTATAGTTTTATAGATTTTCCTTAATATTTGCAAATGTTGATTTAAAGTTGTATATTAAAAGTAATTAATCAACATAAAAGAACTAGAACTCAATTATTGTGGAATAATTGGAATTTACACAATTTTAATTATAATTTCCTCAAGTATAATTTAATTGGCATGTTTAAACATATAGTTATATAGAAATAAGACTCCTTTAGTACATAAGTTCGGTTTTCGCTTATTATACATATCACCCGGTAATTTATATTTGTAGAAGAATCGAAAAGAAATCGAATTCGTTCTATTACATTTTTTATGTCAGTTGTACATTTAATCAGGCTTACTCGTTCTAACATTCGTAAATGCTAATAGTTCCCAATTATTTTCACCATTCTTCTATTTCAACGAATATATACATATTGAAACTGTAAATTTAAAACGTATCGCGCTAAATTGCTTCTATTTCGAATCAAGATTTGTTTTTGTCTATGAATTTAGTGAATCGGTTTATTTAGATTGCGTTTGGTTGACTTTTTTTTTGCGTATTTCATGGAGTATTTGAATAAAAACATGCAGGCAATGGCAAATAACTTCAATTGGGACGATATCGAAGTAGGAAATCATGCATTAAACCATTCCCAAAAATTTTTCGGTGAGCATTAAATTACTATCGTAAAAATTTTAAATGTTTTGTGTCAAAAAGAACTGCTATTTTATAATTGCTCTCACTCTTTTGACAATACTGTAATGGCAGCAAAAAAACATATCAAACACGAACGTCTGGACGAATCGGAAGAAGAAATGGACGTATTAAAAGAAATAGGTAATTTCTATTAAAAAAATAAAGTATGTAGATATATTAATTTAGAGAAATTTAAAAATTTGTAGACGCCATTACATTAGATGATACATTCACCTCAAATTTGGATAAAGAAAATGTAAATAATACAAATACATCTACTTTCGACACAAAATCTCCATTAAAGGAAACAAAACACGCAATCCTAAATGAAGGCGATGGAACTGATGTAAAATTTTTAAAAACATGTCCACAACTAAACACTCCTGGCAAAATATGTCGGGAACAAGAAGAAATCAAAAGTACTAGCCAAAGTGAATCGCCCATCAACTCTTTAAAAGAAATAAAGTCACAACCCGCAAACACTTTGGTTCTTTCAGAATCGTTAATTGCAAGGAATAAAGCACGAATAAATCCAAGTGCAAATAAAAAAGCACCTTCGGAATCCAATATAAAAGATAGTGAGCCAACCTTAACAACAAAAACTGTAAAGCTTTCTGAATCATTAATTGTACGAAATAAAGCACGCATTAATCCCGGTGTGAAAACGGAAAAGGTTGCCAATCCAACGACAGCAGCAAATGGTAGCACTGTGTCTACGGGCACAATTGCAAAACCTGTCACAGCACCTGCACCCACCGCTCCACACGCCTATCAATGCAATGAACTCTATAAACGCAGAAAAGAGGAGCAATTACAAAAATGTATAGAGGAGGAGCGTAAACGGAGAGAATTTCATAGTAGACCAGTACCAAATTTCAACGCAGTCCACAAATCTCTGCAACAGCGAAAAGTACTCCATGTGGTGACCGTACCAGTAACGCCCATGGTTTTAAAAAAATCTAATGAAACTGAAGCGAAAAGGAAAAAGAAGGTAAATAATCTTCTAAATTGAATAAATGTGTAAATAAATTGAATAATCATTCCTCAGTTAGAAGATAAAAAGCAAATACAGCCACCAAAATTCGAACCGCGGCATCCAACTATTTTGCATGAAGAGCCCTTTATACCAAAGAAGACGCAAACCGTATTGGTGCCATGCCCATTTAATCTTCATTCTGAACGTCGTCTACAGGAGCGTAAACAATATGATGCAACAGTTCAGCGGGTTATGGAGCAGAAACAAAAACAGGTAGAAATTGTAAGCAAAACAAACGATACAATACGAATAAATGGTACTGTGTGATTTAAGAATGATTGTGTGAACAGAATGTAATACTAACTAAGTGTCGTTTGTATTGTATTCATTAACCATTCCTTTTACATGATTTAATTAATTAGTGTTTTGATAACATTTTTAATTCGAATTAATTTAATTAAATTTTTTTTTAAATTTTTCTGTTTATATTTTAATGATTTTGTGTGATTTACAAACTATTTGTATATAGTTGTCACTCAGAAATCGCCTTTTCATTGGTTAAATATTTTTGAAAACAGCTGAATTTGACATTATGGATCCAATTACTTTTGACTAATTGTTGGGCTATCAACAATATATAATTAAATCATATCCTTTTGTTTATTACGGCTGCAAGCAATAAATTTTTTGTAAAATTTACTCCATAAAAATAATAGAACGAAATTGTCGCAATTTCTATTTATAACATTATTCAATAAGTGGCAGCATCGATTTGTTGTCAAAACATCTTGGTGTTTTTTTTTTTTTGTTAACTGAGTTCAATTGTCAATTATTAGTGGATGAAATTACGTTTGTATTTTATTTCACTTTCGTCTGTGCTGCTCGCGATCTTTATTTTTTCTTTGTGTTGTGATTTTTTCAGTTATCGTATTGTTATTATTGTGGGTACAATTATTTATAAACTAATAATTACGTAAAAGTTACGAAAAATTATTTATTTTGTGTCCATATTTGATTATATTGTGTATTTGTGGCTAATCATTGAGATAGCCCCGAAATGAGCGTATTCGCCATTTCGAAACCAATTAAAAACAATAACAACAACTACAAAACGAGAAATTACGATAAAAGCAAGAGTATTTACGTCCCTCATGTCGGAAGAAGTGTTGCCAATAAGTTTCGATAGTTTTAATACATTTTATTTTTATTTCAATGATAAATTTCGGTTTGAGAATAACTTAAATCTTTAAAAGTTCATTCTAATTAAAGAAGTATTATATATTTTGTTTTAAATAGGAGTAATCACTTCTCAGACGTAAATTTTATACATATATTATATAAATATAGATTTATTTGGAAATCTGGTAGCGCAGTTGCGAAAATAGGCAAAGTGGAATGACAAACAATTCCAATTACCATCTGTAAAGTGCATAAGTGATGATTAGGAAGCAAAGAAGGGACTGAAATAGTTTGACTTTTGTTCCTATTTGAGCATATTTAACTTTGTATCAAGTACGGTGACTATTGTGAAAACGAAAAGTATTTTAAAGCTTTGTACGCGACATTGATACTATAAAAATCTTTTATTTTCGTAATTTTTACGTAATTAGGGTTATTGGAAACAATTTATTATGCATAAAATTAAAATTAGCACAATTTTTGTTGAAGTGAATATTTGTCATAAGTTAGGAGACTGTTGAATCTGCTTCGGTCACAGCGGATCTGTATCTCAATTCCAACAAGTGCATCGCCTACGTAACTACTCGTCTGCAAAATATACAATATTGCTGTTCTGCCTTTGTAATCTCTACTAGCCACACCTAAACTTTCGAAAAGTATAACTTTAAATTGCACAATATGGTGGATCGTCTTGTAAATTCTGAAGCTAATTCAAGGCGAATTGCTATGGTCGAAAGCTGCTTTGGCAGCTCTGGTGTGCCTTTAGCAATTCCAGGTCGCGTGCTTGTTGGCGAAGGTGTCTTAACTAAGATGTGCCGCAAGCGACCAAAGTCTCGACAGTTTTTCCTTTTCAACGATATATTGGTATATGGTAATATTGTAATTGGAAAGAAGAAATATAACAAACAACACATTATGCCATTAGAAGAGGTATCATTGGAATCTCTCGAGGATAACGGACAATATCGTAATGGTTGGTTGATACGTACCACAACAAAATCGTTTGTTGTTTACGCCGCTACAAGTACGGAAAAACAAGAATGGATGGCACATATCAACAAGTGTGTGGAAGATTTACTGCGTAAGAGCGGAAAGAAACCTGTGGAAAATCACGCTGCTGTTTGGGTACCAGACGCCGAAGCCACCCACTGTATGAATTGCAAGAAGACACAATTTACGATGATAGTTCGACGTCATCATTGTCGCAACTGCGGAGCAGTTGTATGCGGACCGTGTTCATCTAAGAAGTTTTTACTGCCTCAACAAAGCTCCAAACCTGTACGTGTCTGTACCGCTTGTTATGAACGCCTTTCTAAAGCGGTTAAAGCGGAATCGTCCAAAACGGCCCTTACAAATGCTGGTGCAAATTTAACAACACCATCTTCAGCGTCTATTGATGGTAATGGTAATGGCACTGGAAAAATGGTGGACAGTTCGGGTGATGATGATTCGGAGGAAGAAAGCACTGGTGCAGCCAACGAAATGCACGATGAACCACGTTTCTACGGTGATACAACATTGTCGGCGGATGAATCTACGTCATCAGCGGCGCTTAATTCCAGTCACACACCTAGTGTTAATAACTGATGTGCGCAGTCTACATGTTTAGAGGGCGGGTTAATGGACGCAGGTGGTGACGAATATGGGGATATATACAGTCGAAATGTCACAAGAAGGAAAGGGTGTGACGATATGCAGCGAAACAATAATAAACAAAATTATAAAATTAAACAACGACAGCAAGAAGAAAAAACTGAAATAAAGCAACCAGAACAGCAACCAGATGAACGTAGAAAGAAGGTGTGGCATTTCGTCTGGAAAAGAAAAGGATTAACGAAGTTGTTTGATCTTCAAAAGGGTAAGATATTACATATGCGTTTTGCTTTAAATATTAGGTAGGGTCAATAGGCATTCACTGCATTGTAACTTATTTGTTTCCGTACTTAAATTTAATATGAATAATTTGTGTGGCTTTTATAGTGTATTTTTGTTCTTTTCTTATATTTTTTTTTTATTAATTTACATAATTCATTTGCGCATCAGCGTCAACGATATAAATACATATGTTCGTTGGTTCATCATCCGTTTCGTTGGAGACTTGCACTCACACAATATCGTTTAATTCGTATAAAAGAATTGTATAAATCTTATCTGTGCAAGTTTATTAGCATTCAAGTCGCTTTATTCGCTTTTCACATTAAAATTTATGTAAATGCGACTACATTCTACTTCAATTTGGCGCTTTTTTTTGCTTTTTCATAAGTCATTTCCTCTAGTAAATAGTTATATACCATATATATATATATACATGTACACACTTATCTATGTGATAAATCCACATGTGCAATCTCGCAAAATAAGTAAAAGGCAAAAATTTACGAACTTTTCCGCTATTAACACACATGATAAAAAATAAAATCTTGATGAACTGTAGATATTAAGAGGCACACCTAATGTGGCCCAAAAAAGGTGATTTTTAGTATACAGAGAAACAAATACAAAATAAGCTAAAAAAATCGGAGTGATCGGATCATTTGTTCTCGAGTTACAACTGCAGTCAATTTGAAAAATATAGTTATAAAAAAAAACGCATTTAAAGATAAACTGATTGAGCTGATTAAACTGAGTGGCTACACTTTAGAAGGCTATAAATATTTGAAATATTCCTTTAAAATTTTAATATGCCATTTTTTTATAATATCGAAATATGGAAAAAAAATATTAATGAATATACAATTTTTATTAAGATATTTATAAAAAATCTTTCTATTCAGTAGTATCTCGCAAAAGCAAAATTTTCGACTTGTTAACCGAGCAAAAGCGTTAACGCGCGGCTCTAAAATATTAAATTTTAAGTTAACTTCTCAGTTCTTATGTTTAATATTTTATATTTTTCAAAATTAAAAATCGCTTGGAAAAAAGTGATAATTGGTTATTTGAGATATTTTTTCGCAATATTAATTATAAACAAGAAAGAGCGCTAACTTCAGTTGCACCGAAGCTATGATTTCTTAAATACAAAAGATTCCATAAAATACTCGAATTTGATCGGTGGTTTCTGTTGTTGTAGCGGCAAAAACATTCCTGAAATAATTTTGAAAAATGCTGACGAGTTGACAGTCCCTGGCCAAATAATTCGGGTCCGTTCCGGGTTACGTGGACCCGACTGTCGTGGGAACGGTGAATTCGAATTTGATCGGTCAGTTTGTATGGCAGCTATATGCTATAGTGGTCCAATCTAAACAATTTGTTCGGAAATTGTACCGTTGACTTTGTCAATAATCCAAATCAAAAAAATGCTATACAATAACTTGATTTTGACAGGCCCGTTTATATGACAGCTATATGTTTTAGTGCGCTGATATCGGCGGTTCCGAAAAATTAACAGCTTCTTGGGGTGAAAAGGACGTATGCAAAATTTCAAAGCGATATCTCAAAAACTGTGGGACTAATTTACGTATATACAAACAGATGGATATGGCTAAATCGACTCAGCTCGTCACGCAGATCATTTATATATGTACATATATTCTTTATAGGGGTTTCGACGTTTCATTCTTAGTGTTACAAAATTTTGTGGCAAACTTAATATGCCCTGTTCACGCTACAAAAATCAATGCGTATATTTTTCTATTTTAGTTTCCGGTGGATATATTAACTGTGTATATTAATTTATTTTTCATTAACTACAAAAACTCTCATGGCTATTAATGTTATCAGTGATATGTTAAATAATTTGTAATTTTCTGCACAATTTGCGACAATACAGTGACATATACATATACAAGTATGTATGTACATATGTCATGAAATATATAAGAGAATACATACTTGCATACGTGTGTGTGTGCATTCGCTCTCTCAGTTTCCTTCTCACGTATTCTTATCTGTTAGCTGAGTTGTTTGGCATATATAATTTGTAGACATATGATAAGGAATGGGTATTAACTTTCGCCAAACTGAGAAAAAAATTTGCTTATAATTTTGGTCCAACCGATGCTGAATTACATATTTTATGTACATACATATGTACATCCATTGTATTAGTTTGCAATGATAAGAAAGCTTTTGTAAAACCGCATAGTTTCGCAGATCGGCACCCGACACTTACAAGCTTATGATGACTCACAATCAGTGGCTGTAAAGTTCGAACTATCAACGCTTTCAACTGCATTGCTGTTATTACAGTTGTTTAAAAGCAAAAAGTACAAAGTTCTAAAAAATCCAATGAGTAAGCATATGTAGATATGAACACAACTCTAGGCAGATTAACAAAGTCTATAATATTGACTCATCACTCGAATAAATATTTTCAAACTTTTTATCGAAAAGTACCGCACTTGATTAGTTATATCGTTGTTATCGCTAATATTATTGTTTCCTACCTAATATCGGCTTGGATGCTAAAGTTTTTGGATGTGTAAAATTTAACTATAAAGTATTTTACATATTTTTGATACATCGCAGTCAAGTCTGCGTATATTTTATAAAGGTTTAGGAGAATGTATCATTTCATTTTCTAGAAGTGTAGGAGGGAGTTAATACATATAAACAAGGTCTCAAAGGCTGTAGACAATATAATATCAAATATTATACACAAAAATCCATCAAAGTTAAGATGAGAGGAACTTTATTTATCAGTAATCTTGACAAGAAGCAAGAAAATTTGCATATTTTACCCAAAATATTAAGTTTGGCAGGAAGTATGCAACACATAGAGCAAACGTCGGAGATGCTATAAGTGGTATATAAAGCATGACGAGCTGAGTCGATTTAGCCTTGTCCGTATGCATATACGGTAACTAGCCCCTCAGTTTTTGAGATATCGATCTAAAATTTTGCACACGTCCCTTTCTGCCCAAGAATCCGGTCATTTGTAGAAACCGCCGATATTGGATCACTATAGCGTACATCTGCCATACAAACTAACCCCATCAAAATCAAATCCTTGTTTGTATAACTTATTTATTAGACAAGATATCTTCACGAAATTTGGTATCGATTAGTGTCCAAGGCAACGCCACAATCTCCGAACAACAACAAATTAACCCGTTCTGTACCCTATTGCATATACGAGTACTTAGTAGCTGATACTCGTATTCAAACTGACCGATCAAAATCAAGATAAACCTTTTTTTAATGCCTTTAATGCTATAAGAAATGCAGCTGTGAAGGGTATTATAGCTTCGGTGTAGCCGAAGATAACGTTGCCATTGTTAACATTTCTTTATTATCGTAATCCAATAAACATGATTTATGGTTGGGCATAAGTAATTCTAGCAATTGCGTAAAATGAGCATTAATAAAACTGTCGAAAGCATTAGATTAGGAATTATTTGGGAAATAGTGTATTGATTTTTTTTTTAGACATTTTCTTGCCTGAGATTCATTCAATTTATTAATAATGAATATTTTTTTAATCATAAGTTTGACGGAGCAGAATTGTTGCAATGCATTTCTATTTTTACATTTCTTTTCAAGTCGCATTTGGCAATATATTAGATATACATACATTTATGTATATATATTAATATTATTTTATTTTTAAGTATGCAGACTAGGCAACCGTTAGTTGAACTGTTTGCGTTTGACAGTTTTCTGTAGCCACAGCACATTACGATATGTAAAATTATTGTCGTGCTTTCATTACTTCACTCTTCTTTCTTAAATAGTTCGTATGCGATTGACGTGCTCTTTGCCTGTCTTGTGTATTAGCCATTATGACTTTATGCCCGACTGCAAGCACATAGAAATGTTTTTCACCATGCATACTTGCATACATATGTATATATGTACATTCGTTATTTCTCAGCGCTTTGCTAGGTCTTTGGTCTGCCTAAGTGACTAAGTATGTTATGTGGGTTTGATTTGTCTTCAGCCACTGTTGGCAAAATCTTATTCATATTACAAAAATGCATATGTATGCACACAAATATAAAAGTATACAGTTCACGTGCCTTGTTTCAAAATAAAAATAGCATTTACAGTTCATTCATACAAGCTGACACGATATGGTCACTGCTTCGTTTAAGTTTTTCAAAATTTCCTGTAGTTATTCCCTTACCCTCTATTCCCACCTATTGTTATATACATATATACATACATACATATCTACATATAGACTTTGCTATCATTTCACTTTTTTCTGTTTTATCGACTTCAAGCTTCGTTAATTCTATTTGTTGTTTTCAACTTTTTAGCCTTTCCTTACCTGGCTGAGTTGTTTGTCGCATTCTGTCGCTATTTGTTTTTCACTCGTTCATTTCTTGTGCCAGCCATTCGCCTGACTTTCTAAATACATGTGTATGTACAAATGTATGCATGCATACATACTTACATACATCCATACTTTGCTGGGAATAAACAAAAACTTTGCTGTAGAAATTCTGCTTCTCTGCACTAGCTCTCAGTAGCTTGTGTATACATAAGTGATGTACCGTTGCAGTAGAATAATAAAAAAATCTCTATTTGTTGTTGACAGTCTATCACCGTTCTCCTATTTTGAAATTTAATCATTTCATGCTACATAATATGTTCGGTTCAATTTTCTTAAGCAAATATTGTAAGCTATTTTCCATCATTTCGTAAAAAGTTTAATGGGAATGCTGCTAGCGATACATAATGTGCATTAGAGCCCAGCAATATAAAGAAATTATAAACAACTCTGTTAGTTGCCTTCCTCTAAATAATGTCGCGTGAATCTGCTCTGCTTACTGGCGCTGTTGTAGTTGAGAAGAATATTGTAATAGTGGTGGGACGCTGCATACGTAAATTTGGGTATCAAGGTCCGTAAATATAATGCGAGTTACTATTCAGGGTCGAACTGTATATAAATATATTAATAACCCAAACAATAACCGTCTTTGGCAGGTTAAAATCGGGGTCATTCCTGTCAAGGTAGAACCAGCTGTGTTGTGAATTATAATTATAATGCCATAATCGCATGCAACAAGTTCGCGCTTAATATAACTTCTTCTGCCCATACTCACTTAATAATTCTCCCAAATAATTTTGGCTTTTGACCGAATAAAAATTCATGCTCATTATGGTTACATAGATCGGACTATCAGGTAATAAGTTCCTTCTGTTATATTTATATCAGATTTCGTAAAAAGAAATTCATTCAAGTTGGCTGAAAAAATGAACAATGTTTGCGTTCTTCATGCTGAAACAGATAACAGCTAGTTTTGGTTTCGTCGTTTCCGTTCCGGTAATTTTGATATCCAAGAAGCACCACGCCATGGAAGAACAATTGTTAAAAATATTTATACAAAAAAGTCGAATCCGACCGTCTTCAAAACACTTTCGATTTACAGGAGTTAAATAAAGACCCGTTTGGGAACACTTAAATAAGGCTGGATACAAAAAGAAACTCAACGTATGGGTGCCACACAAGTTAACGCAAAAAAAACCTAGTGAACCAAATTTTGATCTGTAAATCGGCGGTCAAGCCCGCATTGACAGTCAATAAGATTTTGTTATGTGTTTGGTGTGATTGGTAGGGTATCATCTACTATGAGCTGCTTCCCTACGGTCAAACTCCAAACCTGTCCTGTCGACTATTGAACCGTCTGAATAGGCAAATAGGAGAGAAATTGGGTTCCACCAGGACATCGACTGGTCACACAGGGCGATAGTTAATCGCCAGATGCTCCGTGAGCTTGGTTGAGAGGTTCTTATACATCCAAATTAAAGTCCGAAACTGGTATGATTTTGCTGGTGAAAGCTCGCCTCAGGAGAACTTGTGAATATCGATTCAATTCATGGTAGTAATAAAACCTTGAATTAAAGCGAAAATAATGGGTTTGTTTTTACTAGAACTAGTATATCTATACAGACGAATGTATGTATTTACAAATTAGCTTTAATTTCGTACTTGTGTTTATATTTTAAATAAGAAATTGCCATTTTCTAGATTGGGCATATACATATGTATGTACCTACATACATATATAACTATTATGTTTAAAAAAAAAATGGTTTCTTGTGAAGAATATGACTTTTCTTGCTTATTTATGGCTGAATTATATCCCATTTTACGATCAAATAATCTACAAAGAAGCTAATGCTTGTACAGTTGATCTCACTTTGTAGAACTATTATATGGGTAATATTTCAGCCAATTTAGACTTTCAAAGTATATAAAGTAAGCTATGTTTAAAAATAACTTTAAAAAATATATATAATAAAAAAAAACAAAAAATAAAATAATACTAAAAAAATAAAAAATAATAAAAAAAATAAAAAATTAATATATAAAAGCATTAATATGAAAAAGAAAAATAAAATAAAATAAATAAACAAAACTCTTTAACGTTTCGGTATGTGGAAAAAAAATTTCCGAGTGTAACGGTAAGTTTTATCATAAAATTACCTCAAACAAAAATTGAAGATAAAAAAATTAGCTATTAAAATTTATTAACATATTTTTTCTAAGAACTGCCGTTTCTGAGATATAATTTTGAACATATTCATTAATTTTCAGCTTGTATTGTATAAATTTATGTACCCTCACTCTCATTTTCAAGTGTAATTGGAACGGACTACTAGAAATATGCATGAGAATTGAATTCATTAGTGTGACTGTATAATTTGTTCAGTAAATTATTATTTTGACTAGTATTATTTATTTAGTACATACACTCCTGTCTGAAAAATCTTAATAAACTTCCATTTCTTACATTTTAGGAGGAGGAGGAGCGTAAACGGCGTGAAGAACAACGCATTAAGGAGTTGCGCAAGCTCACTACGTTTAAAGCACGACCAAATCCTTTTAAATAGACTCTTCTAAAACACCAACAATGCATAGTAACAAATATGATTTAAACGCCACACAATAGTACATACATACATACATATATAGCAACATACAATCAATTTATACAGCAATAAAATAAAAACGATGCATACTTAATAACATTTTCACATTTTCAAAAAAAAAATAATAATAATAACAATTATAATAATATAAAATAACGGAGTATATGTATGTATGTAATAACATTTTTATATATGAAAATGAAATAACGTAACGTTTTATTATCTTTATTACTACAACTATTATATTAGCCTTTTTTCTTACTTGTAATAATTTTCGGGAATACACATATACACATACATATTCATATGCATATATATAGCGATATACAATAATTAACAAAATGTTATATTATATTATAAATAAGAAATATTTAAATAATTAAAACACCTACATTTTACCACAATAAAATAAAGCAAATGTTAAAATTAGACACTACACAATATTTATGAAACATATGAATGTACATACATACATAAAAAAGCATGGAAATGCTAGAAAGAAAAACAGTTGTCTGTTGTTAAACGTGTAGAAGTGAAGTAGCGAGTACTTTAGCTACATTTACAACACACACCGCGTACATATGTATGTATATTGTGCCTATGCAGTACTAAAACGCTGACGGTAAAAAAAGTTAAATTTCAATTTTCCACGCAATTTATGCTAATTATCAATTTGTGTGTCAACAAATATCAAATTGTTAAAATATTGATATTTAAGACTTATAAGTAAATTTTATTATTATATTTCAATTTGATATATTTTTCTTTACTCTTCTTTTAATGTATGTAACGTATTATATATACTTATGTATATTACTTCAATGCTGTGTATATTGCAGAAATTTCGTCCGTTTAATTACTAAAAATATCTACTCTTACTTTATATGTTTAGCTTAAAACATTTCTTGGAAATTCAAGTAGAAAAGAGCAATACTTTTGGTTCGAATTACTCAAAACCATTATTATTTCTTTATAGACTAGAGAATAAAACTGTATTTAAAATTCATTATTAAATTACTAATTCAATATATATAAATTCGTAAAATAAAGAAATATTTTTACACAAAATTGCCAACATGCGTTTTTATTGAAAAGTAAAATTGGCGCCAATAAAGAATTGTGTGCAAAAAAGAAATCTGGTCACCCTAACGGAAGCGGTGTGAAATTTAACTGAATTCACAAACCGCCCCAATGCACCAGGCGCACAGTTATACAAAATAGGTAGCCCAGCCAAAAAGTTATCTGCGTAGGCTGCATGCTTTTAGGCGCCAAAATAATATAATGTGCAGTATGTACACAAATTACAAGATTGAGCGCAAATACCGGAAGCCGTGGACAATAAGCCTAAAATTGCCAATTTCATAAAACCAAAATCAACAAGTGAAACAAGTATTTTTATATGAACCAATAAAGTACTTTATTCGGTCAATAGGCCATTGCCTAACGTTTAAATAAACATTTTAAGAATGATTATAAAGCGTTTAGAAGTTGCCATCACCGCCCCATGAGGTCTTGACAGCATCCTCGTTCCAATCTTCAGCGCCGGCAACGGTTTCAGCAGCAACCTCATCGGCCCAGTTGGTGGCTTCTTCGACGGGGTGTTCAACAACCTCTTCAACCTTGGGTGGTGGCAACAATTCCTTGGCAGCTGCTTCTTCCTTCTCAGCCTCCTCGGGATCACGGTAGAAGAACAAATCGACAACCACAGGCCATTCGCTGACACGAGAGATTGTGCCGCGCAGGCGAAGCACTTCACGCGACAACAACCACCACATCAAACCAATGGAATGTGGAGCTTTGTTATTGCATGGAATGGCAATATCGATGTAACGCAGAGGCGAATCAGTATTGCAGAAAGCAATAACTGGGATGTTAACGTACGAAGCTTCCATAATGGGTTGATGATCGGTATTTGGATCGGTCACAACCAACAGACGGGGTTCACGGAAAGCTGGTTGAATTTGATTGGTAAATGCACCAGGGGTGAAACGACCAGCAATTGGTGTGGTGTCGGTGTACTTGGCGAACTTGAGTACAGCACGCTGACCGATTGGACGCGAAGAGATGACGAAGACCTATAAAACAATGTAAATTACTAAATTAGTTTTTATAATTAATAAAATAAGAATTTACAATACAAATTAATTTGTATAGTGTGCAGTCAGCAGTTAGGTTGGCTTCATTGAATTTCAGACCCGAAAGATTAGATAAAAATCATCATATGTGCACACTGTACATACATTTATAGAAAAAATATTTTTCCAATACTTACATCTTGTGGGTACTCGATGGCAGCAATGGCACGGGCAGCCAACATCAGTTTCTCCCAAGTCTTGCCGAGATTGATGATGTTAACACCATCACTACGGCGCTTGTAAACATACTGTTCCATTTGGAAGTTGACGTTTTCCGAACCCAGATGAGTGGTGGCCACCAACATCTTGGTGATGTCGTCCTCTTTGAGGGACAAAATTTCTAATCCTCCCGACATTTTAACGTATTAAGAGTAACGTAACCTGTGGAAGAATATGTGGAAAGTAACAAATTAGTAGAATGTATATTGACTAGCGTACATAACCTAAAATCGTGCAAATATGCACGTGTCTATTGCACATCAAGTCAAAGCAGTGTAAATGTTTGAAAATGAGTATACATTCTGAATTAAAACTATTTAAATTATTTTTACACTAACTTTTTGATTTAGTTTTCACATTTTGCTTTAATAATCGGCTCTTTCCTTGAAGACGAAATAACTTACGTTGTGGATGCCACTGGGAGCGTTGACAAAATGGCAGATTGTCACTTTTCGTTCGAAGTGCTGCGCCGGATTCGATATTTATTGTAATAGATTTTCGTGCTGTCATTGACATACTATGTTGCCATACTTGCTAACAGCACAATTTGAGTGATTTCGGTGCAAAAAAAAAATTAAGCTAGTAGATTCTGATGCATGATGAAAAGTTTAGGAAAAAACGAATATAATTGTATATTAGAATATTAAAGGGTGAATACAAGCTTTTAGTTCTTTTTTTTAATTTTTCATCAATTTTTAAACCAAACCAAACCAAACTGAAATTTTAATCACAAAATCATTACTAAACATTGAGAATTTATTTTTAATCCCGTTAGTTAGGAATTAGTTAGGTATAAAATATTTTAATATTATTTTTTTTTAATTTTATTTATGAAATATTATTTTTTAAAATTAATAAAAACAACTTACCATATTTTCCATCATATTTAGAATTCCAAAATCGAGATACTTTTATTTTTCTGTATACATTTATTGCATTGTTACTGACTCTCCAGTGTCTACCACAACAATTTAAATTTGATTTTTAATATACTTTTCCACATCTTTAAAGATAATATATATATTTTTTAGTTTTATTTTAAAATTTTTCTTTTGTTAATGTATTCAATTTTTAAGCGTATTCGCTTGCAGTTTAATTTTACAGTAGTCATTTATTAATTTTTCTGCAACAATTCTCATGATGTCTTATTTAAATATGCATTTTTATTTAGCAAAATGTTTTGGGTGAGTGCTATGAATGTTTGTTTGTAAGTTTTGGCCAACGCTGTATGCTAACAATTTTAATCGACCTCTACGCCCGTTGCTGCTTTATATTGGCAAAAAGCACAACTACCTTTTGCATTAGGGGTGCCCTAATACTACGAAAAGAACACCTATTTAAATTAGAAAACGCGTGTGTTTCAAATAATTTACATATGCATTGTATGTAACTAATGATAACCATTACATTTTTTAGGAAATGATGTTGAATTAGTCGCTGGTGCATTTGCTCACCCTTACAATGCGGTTTTTAGTTTAAGTTTTTTTCCATTTCTTTTATTTTTGATGTGGCATTCAATTATTTTTTTTTTTGTCATTCTTAGTGTCTAACTTAGTCGCTAATGTTTTATGTCATTTTCGTTTTTGGGATTTTTGTTTGCTTTGTTTACTTTAAATTACTAACTACTTATACAATGTAATGTTAACTTGTTTTGCTTTCTTTAATTTGTCCATAATGTTCATTGCGAACTTGAATTTGAATATTCATTTAAAATGCTTTAACACTTTCCAAAATATACATACATATACATGTTGACTTTTAATAACTAACACGCGGTAACTTGACAATATTATGTAATATATATATATGTAAAAATTTCAAAAATTAACTAATTTAATTTAAAAAAAATTTCTACTTGTATGCAAAAATTATTTGCAAACTAAATATAATATTCGCTCGTTTCGTTAACCACTCTCTCTGGTCTGTTATTCCATATACCATACTATATATTTTCTCCGTTCTTACGTTTTAAACTTAAAGCGGTGCATCACAAATTACTTTTGGTTATTTAATTATTATATTATAATAATGTTGTTTTTGTTTGCTTTTTCATTTGTATTTGGACAAAATTTCTGAGTTATCGTTGGTTTGAATTTTGTGTACTTTTGCCTACTTTACAGCAGTCATGCGTGTTCGAGTTTAGAAAGTAAGTTTGGAACTTAAAAGAGAGGATAGCGTTCTGGTAAGTTTTTCGGTTAGTTTTAAGAGTAGGAATGTAATATTTTTAAATTTATGATGAATATTTTATACTAGTAGACAAAATTGAAAGCAGAGTTTAATTTTTCGAATAAATAGTAATTTGAACTGAAAATAGAGGATTTTTTTAAAACTACTTAAATACAAGATATTATTTTTTTAATATATGAGTATATGTTATTTAGTTTTAAAAATATTTTGGTGTTAATAATATGTGAGCCATTACTGTATTAAAGAATATATTTTTTTTTATAAAAAGCTAAGAAGAGAAATATACAAATTATTTTTATAAAAATAAATATAATAATAAAGAAGAACATAAAAATTTTTTTTTTTCGGTAAATTATAAAAAAAATTGCTCTATATCTACGAAATATACCTTATTTAGTTTTAACATAATATTTTGGTGTTATTAATCAAGTATTAGATAATTTTATTGTTGCCTATTATTTGCTATATTTTTACATCTTTAAAACTTCTAACTGCTGTGGCGAGTATTTAGTACTTTGGGGACTGTTAAATTGATGTCTATTTTAAAAAATCACTGTTGATATTCACATTTAGATCTAAGCAAATTTATATCGCTTTTAACGGTTCTCATGTTATTATTCTAATTGTTTTTTATTAAACTTAAAACTCTTAAAATAATTCTTTGACAGGTGTTTGAACTCGACATGGCTGTTCTTATTTTTATTTTAATTTTAAGAATTTAAAAAAATTTTCAGAATAACAGAAAAATTTTTAATTTATTTTTATTGCAGAAATAAAAATAAAAATCGATTTTTTTTCTACTTTCAAAATTAAAAATTTGTGTTTCGATAAAAATATACAAACAATATAATAAATATTGTCTGAGTGAAATATCTTAAAAAAATATTTATTTTGGTATTTGGCAAGAGTAATGATTTTTTCAGTTTAAATTTTTAAAGATTTAAAGATAAAATTTTCATTTTAATTCTTCGGTGCAAAGATAATATTAAAGCAAAGACCTGATTAGCGAAAATGATTGTAGATAATTTTTTTTAGAAAGCTTTCCTTTTTAACAAATAACGTATTAAAAAAAATCACAAAAACCGGACTTTCATTTAATTTATTTATGTGTATATGTACTTACTCAAATAAAAAATAAGCTAAGAAAATATAATATATTCAAAATTGCTAATCTGAAAATTTTAGTAGCGTTCACCACTTGCTCATCATATGTATATATGTGTATATTTGCAGACAAGAATAAAAGCAGGTTTGCGAATTGATTAATTAAAAATTTTTGGATTAAATATTCGATTTTCAATTTTTAATTAAAATTTCGAAATTAAAAACTTAAATTTTTCAATTTTAATTTAGTTTTCGGGTTTAAAAAATAAATTTCCAATTTTCAATTTCGATTTTGGAATAAAAAATTTAAATTTTAATTTTTTTTTTTTTAATTTTTTAATTTAATAATAAAAAATTGTAAATTTTATTTTTAAGCCCAAACATTTATTATTATTAAAAATTTAAAAAATATTTTTTGACTTAGAAATTCTAAAAACAAATAAAAAAAATGTTTACCTTAAAAGCGATAAAAAAGTAAAGATGCATATATTTCTAACTGAATACCAATAATTAAAAGTAACTAAATATACATTAGACAAAAATAGTTAATAAATGTTAATATTTTATTAAAAATTAGCTTTCCTTTCGAAAATTAATTGAACTGGCAGAAAACAAAGTACGCAAATGCGAAAAATTTTAAATTGTATACAAATGTCTATTAATTTTTAATTATAAGCATGGGAGTAAATTTTTATTTATTTTTCAATTCGGTATGAGAATAAAAATTTTTACTTAAGAGTTTCGGGATTACAAAAAAAAAAGTATATATATTTTTATTATTTTGTATTAAAAATTTTTTCAATCTCATATTTGGAATTGAAATTTTTTTACCATCCCGTATTTGGAATTAAACATTTTAAAATTACTTTTTCTTAAGAGTTTCGGGATTACAAAATAAATAAATATATATATTTTTATTATTTTGTATTAAAAATTTTTTCAATCTCATACTTGGGATTAAGTTTTTTTTTCAAGCATGGGATTGAAAATAAAAGTAGAGGTTTCTAATAAAAAATTTTTTGGTTCTTAATTTTCAGCAAGCGTTTTAATTTTTAATGTTGCTAATTGAAGTTGGTGTGAAATTAAAGAAGTATAATAATAGTAGTAAACAATTTTTATTTTTATTTTGGTATCCGACATTAACTGTTCATTTGTAAGGGCTCTACTTTGAAAATTGTGAAACAGTAAACCATAATTGTATTGATAGTAATTCACTTCGAAGTCTAAGTGGAGAGAAAATATTTTAATGAAAATATTATTGAAAGTTAAAATTTTAAATGCATAATATTTGCTATAAGTTTTAAATTCGCAGATATATTATTATAATATAAAATTTAATAAAAGCTTTTTGAAGTATGCTCGGAGCTTTGGTTGTGTAATTTTATGTTGTTGCCGCAAATTTAATTTTGAAACAAGGTGTAGGCTGCTTTTCAATTCAATGCCTCTTCATATTTAATAGTTTTTGAACTCAATCAAACAAAAAGCAAAACAACAAGGCTACGAAACCGTAAGAATCAAAAAGCAAACCGTTTATGATTTTTCTCTTCGTTTTGCATATGCTTGCATGTATGTTTGTATGTGTGTATATAATTTAAATATATGTATGTAAATAGTTTCACCTCCAAAATTTTAATATAATTCAATTTAACTACATATACATATATATAATACTTTATATATATATTTGTTACTTGTCGCCTTTGCTGGCTTTCGCTACAACATCTCTTGTTAAGGTTTATTACTTTCGTTTTCAACTAATTTATTACATGTAAATGTTAAAATTTTTTGTTAACAAAACAAATTTTATTTCAGTTGCAATTAATTGCCATTATGGTATGTGCCCACATTTTCAAAATCGATCGCCGGTGTTTGTCTCGTATAATTTTTCGTATTTTACACAAAATTCAGTAGAAAAAAAAGTTACAATATTTTGAGTATATTTTTATTTATTTTCTTTAATACACAATTTGCATGTATGCATTCATCTCATTTTTAAGTTTGCCTTATACGAATGTATGTAAATATGTCAATGCACCTAAGTACATTTGCAACTACAATAAAATGTTATACTTCTTTGCTAAATGAAAATAAATTACTGTTATAACAAACATTAGACGGTCATTCTTTGTTATCCAGTCAGCAATTTGAAAAAATTAATCCCATTTCAGGGGTTTCAGGGGTTTCAGGGTATTATTAAGAATATGTATATGAAATATAAATGCGTGACATGGTTAGTAAAAAATGTACAACTTGGGATAGATTATTGAAAAATATGGTGTAGAAACAGATATTATTGAAATTTAATAATCCTTGATTTGAAGAAGCATACTTAAAGGAAACAATTAGAAAAACAACAGAAAACTGATTTGAAAGCCTAATGCTTTTTTACTACTCATCTCATAATATTAAAAAAATTGATTGATTCTCGAATCGTAATTAAGGACTTATATCCTCTTGTGAATTTCAAAACATCTATTTTTTTTGCACAAAAGAGTATATATCGAATGTTTATATACAATAATTGAATATATTTTCCGAAAGTTTTCAGCCGAATAATTTCGAATATATATGAGTGTATTTGTACGAATTTTTCTCGGAACGCTGTTTACAGAGTCGTTGAGAAAAATCTCTCCGAAATTGATTGAAATTTTCATACAAAATTCTTAGATATATGGTATTTGTCAGGTAATGATAGAAGGAATCCGATTTTTGATAACAAATTAAATTTTTTAAGTAACTTTTACTTTAACTTTTTCACAAAAAACGTTTTTTTTTTGGAAAGTCGCCATTTGGTCAAAACTAAAATTTTTTACTACTTGCAGTCCTTCGATCATTACATGCACTCATATATTGTAATAATACATTTTTTTGGTTTTCGAATTTGAGATAATTTTAAGCAGCAAAATCTTTTTCATTGATAGAGACCATTTTTTCAGAGGTTCTCCTGGAGATCGGTTACGGGATCAAGAGAATCGAAAATGTTTCAAAATGAGTGGCCGATTATTAAAATGCCTTAAATTATGTAAATGCACATTATTTCTTTTTATTTATTGAATAAATTTTATTTATTTCTTAAATAAAATGTCTCTTTAGAATAAAATTTCACAAAAGAACGCGATTTTTCTAACTTGCAAGTGGATAAAACCGCTTAAGGAGCGACTCATTAAAATAATTAAACATTTTTATAATACTTTGTAATTGAAAATGATTTAAGCAAACTCGTACAAATTAATTTTTTTTTTTCAGTATTAGCAACCAACCATTATTTGAGTCCCTTTGGTACCTATTCCTGTAATATAATATTATATATCTATCTGACTTGTTGTAACACACAAAGTACCATAAAGGGCAGCAATTGATATTTAACGGTATTGTAACACTTAAAAGAGATAGCGATTATTTAAAAATATTTAAAGTTGTAGAAGAACATTAAAAAGAAAGCAATTTCCCTTAAACTATCATTAAGAAGCATTTGTAGCGTTCTAATATTTACATAAGTCAAGTAGCTTAACAATATGGTAATTTGGTTTAATGTTGACATAGAAAGCAGTAATTTATATTTATTTTCGCTTGTTTCTAGAAAGTTTCAGTAAACATTCGCACACAAACTTTGCAGCAACCCTTTTTCAAGTATTTTACTTTGGTTGAAACGTTAAAAATCAAATTTTAGGTGACTTAAAAAACAAATTACTAACATTCGTTATGTTTTTAATTGTTTGAGTTTTGTATTAGAGCTCTTTTAGTGTTTTTTCTTTCTTTTTATTACATTATAGTTTTGTTTTCATATAATATTTTTATTATAATTTGTGCACTTATTTAGAATATTGCTTTAAAGGGATAGAGGAACCGATTTGTAATAGGTAAAAAAAAAAAAATACAGGCAAAATTGGCAACAATGTAATTAAATATACAAAACATGCAGAAAAAAATTGATAGCAATCGAATCCCCTGTCTCTAAGTAATCACTCAAGCACTTTATTTCAAAAGGGTTTATTTATTTTCAGCTCATACGAGTATTGTATTTAATATCATTTATGTATTAGAAACTATTTTTTAAGTAACAAAAAAAAAAAAGAACTTGTGGCCAACTATTGTTAAAATCACCGATTTCACTATTACAAAACGGAATCTTCAAAAAAAAAAAAATTCAGCGTAATCAATATCCAACATAAGTGCACTAATTTTTTATGTTTTCGACATTTTCAGGTTATCAACAAATTTAGTTAGCAACAATATGTTTAGTTTAAGTAGCATATTTAGTGTAAAATAAGCAACTACAAGACCACTACTTAGACATACATACAAATTTATATGCAAGTGTGAAGAAGAATTTAGTTGAATCAACTATAAATGATGGGGTTAGGGTAAAGAATAGTCATACTGAAACATATTATGTATGTATATGTACATTAGAGTGTCCGTTATTTCCAAAATAGATTGAATTTTTGCTCTAAAAAATTATCCGACGTAAACAAACTTTTTATTTTCTATTTAAATCGCGCCTTAATCATTTTACTTTCGCGATTTTTTAATTTTTCGCAATACATATTTTATCTCTAAAGCAAATTGCAAAACCTATAACAACTATATTCCAATACAAAATTTTCCGCTCTACAAAAAAGTTCTAAATATTTTTTTTCATGAAAACATTCCTTTAAAAGTTATACGCAGTTAAAATTAAACGTACGGAGTATTCATACAAGTGTTTATAAATTCTGTGTTGCTCATACGACATGGTGTACTATATGTATGAATGATCTATTACTGAATTACTCAATGCATTTGATGCATAATTTTAACCACGTATAACTTTTAAAGATGTGGTTTTATGGAAGAAACCAATAAGACTTTTTTTGAAGAGCGATATTTTTTTAAAAGGCTATTTTTTAAAGTTGTAGGTTTATATTCTTTGTAGAAAAAACATTTATTGGAAAAGATCAAAAAGTCCCATGCTATATACCTATGTGCATGAGAAAAGAAATATGATTTCGTTGGATAATTTTTTGAGAGCATTATAATTTAGTAATAGAACATCACCCTTTCAAAGTTGTAGATTAATTTGCATTGGAGATGAAAAATGTATTGCAAAATATTGAAAAAAGTTAAATATATCGGAAAAGTAAAATGATTTATTCACGGTTTAAGTTGAAAACAAAGAACTTGTTTGCTGTCATTTGTTTATTTAGCGCAAAATCTGAAACTTCAGGAGACGTATGCAAAAAAAAATAAATAAATAAACTTGCGTAATAACGCACACCCTAATGTACATACATACATATATGGTGCATATGTGTAAAATCATAAAAAAAATTTACTATCGCATCAAGTTCAGACTTTTTATTCGACAGCCAAAAAACGAAACAAAAAATAGCAGTATTTCCATTTCTTCATCCTTCGTAATTTCTTACACAACTAATACCTTTCAACTTGCATATATAACAATTACATTTGCTAATAGTTTATTTCCAATAGGTAAACTATTAAATAATTTTGGCTTGTGTTAGGTACCTGCGACTACAAAAAACCGAGCTACAGCTGTGTGAAAATTGAATTGCAGCATTTAAAGCAGTTTAAGCACAAAATATTGTAGAGAAAGTCAAAGCTTTTTGTAGAGTGCTTTCAAGTTTTTTGAATACCGTTATCGTCAATTTGCTTCTAGAGACATTTTTCTACCACCACGTGATTTGCTTAGCAAGCAGTTTATACAACTGTTAACGTTTTCATTTAGTGCACAATTTTTCCATGAAATGTTGCAACTACAATTTACGACATTTTTTATGTCATTTTTAAATCTATTTTAAAATGCTGCTTTCTTATTAGACCTTGCTTTTGTCTGTTTTGTGCTTTTCAACATCTTGAATTAGTTGTTTACTTTGTGCTTTGCAATTTTTAGTATTTTTCAGTCAATTTTCACTTCGGTTTTTAAAAACGATTTTCAAGTAATTTACTGACAAATTAGTTAGCTTTTACAAACATATAGTTATATGTGTGTATGTGTGTTAGTTTTAATTAAGCTTAATTACACTCGAAAACCTTTACACATATACATATGTAATAACAAATGAATAACAAATTTGAGGCATTTACGAGTATGAGTTGGGTTCGCCTTAATTGTAGTTGAGTTTTCAATTTTTGTTACTGGTTTTTCTTTGTTTTGGTTTTGGTTTTTGTTTTTGTTTTTGTTTTCTTTTTATTTTTGTTTTTGGTTTTGGTTTTGTTTTCCATACATTAAACTAGTGTTATTCAATTTAGTGAATTTAGTTGCCTCAAGCATGGAAGTGTACTGGTGAAGCGCACACAACCGTTAAACTGTACACATCCGCTTGCACTTTGTAAAGCTTTAAGGTGGACTTATCTAATGCGTGTGCGTTGCCGTCTGTGTACAGTTTAAAAGTTCTGTTTAGTGCATACATAGCTGGGTGGCTTGTTGGCCGTTTACATTCTTTTACAATTATTAATCATATTTATTATTTTCATTATTAATCTAAACAATTAATTTTTAAGACATTTCAATTATTTATTTTTAATTTTTTATTTTAAATATTTTTGTTTAAATCTTTGCATCGGCGCATTTTAAGAATGTAAGTGTATTCCGCTTTAACTTTTTGTTCTTCGTTTGTATTAAGAGGTTATAACCACTTGTGAAAAAAACAATTTTTTTTGCGTATAGAATTTATGTATAATAGGTATATTTGAAAATGTTCTTCGAAAATTTGATGTTGATCCTGCAGATAGTTTCGGAGTTATGAGCGTATTTTTAGGAATTTTTTAATTAAGTGTAATCGAATTCCAAACTTTAAACGTGCCTTTCCCGAAATGCTGTCCACAGAGTTAGTGAGGAAAATTTCTTCGAAACCGCTGGACCGATCGACCTGAAATTTTCGCAAATCATCTTAAATATATTTCGCAATTACCAATCGATATAATAAGATTTTTGATAACAATTTCGATTTTTTTAGCTACAGTGCATTGCAGATCGAAATTTGAAGCATTGCGTTATTGAGGCAACTCCAGGCAGCTGTATCTTCACTCACATACTCATGAGGGATATGTGCACTGGAAAAAGTTGCTGGAGAAGAGGCGCAGTGATCTTTTTCACGGATGGGTTGAAGCCAGGAGATAGAATTGGATGGGGAGTCTTCAATAAAAAGCTCTCCCTCAAGCTTAGCTTTAGGCTACCAGACTACTGTAGTGTTTTTCAGACAGAAGTGGCTGCTATTAAGGTAGCTGTAGATTTACTACTCAAAACTGCAGCTTCTTTCAGGGAGGTGTGCATTAACTCCGACAGCAGAGCAGCGAAATTAACATTGAACTGGAAGACTGTGCGTTTAAAGTTAGTCAAGGAGTGTCTGTCCTCACTAGAAATAGCATCATGCTACTTCATCATTAGACTCGTTTGGGTGATTGGTCATAGCGGCATCGCAAGAAACTGCAAAGCCGATTAGCTACTAAGACGATATAGGCAGTCATACCTTCAGCAAACCAGCAGACATAGCCGAAACTGTCATTGGGCTCAACAAATTCATAATTGGTACAAAACGCTTTGTCGATTTATGAGTGTCTTTTTGACAAATTTTTATAGGAGTTCCAGGTACCACAACGGACCAGCTGTTCAAGTGAGATCCCCTTTTTAAGATCGACCATTTAACCTAACCTAGCCATTTTGCAATTCACGAAAAACGACTTTTTCTTTTGGGAAACCGCCGCTTTGTCAAAAAATCAAAATAATGACTCGTCCTACCATCATAAACTGTATTCATTAATTGTAATTATTGTTATTATTTTTGGATTCAGGATTCGAATTAATTTTAAGCGGAACATTTTTTTTCGCCGCCAGATAACTGTTTTGGAAGGTGCCCCTAGAGATCGACAACGGCAGCAAGCGCATCCAAAATATTTCAAAACGATTCGCCGATTATTAAATGATATTAAATTGTTAATGTACATTTTTTTTAAATTATTAAGCAAAATTACTCTTAAAAAAATCAGCAAATTACGCGTTTTTTCTGACTTGCAAGTGGTTATAAGCCCTTAAAACTTTGCATTTGTGCATTTCAATGTGTTTGGTGCCTTTCGCTTAAACCTTTATTGTTCGTTTGTATTATTTGTTTAGTTTTTTTTTTTGTGTTCAATAAAACTATTTTGATTTATAACTGTGTTTAGCATGCCATCTTGTTATTATTGTTATCATTATGATTGATTATTGGTAATTATTACTTGTAATCATTAAGTTCGGCTTTGAAGTTGAATTTCTCATTTGGCTCTTAATATTATTCACACTCATACATATATATATATAAATACTACACACAATGTTTATTTTTTGATGCGTTGCTGTTGTTGTTGGTTTATATTAATTTATTTTTGTGTTTTTTTTTCAGCTCAATCATTATTCAAATTCCAAGCTTTGCCCGCATATACACACACACAAACAGGTATGTATGTATGTATGTGTGCATGCATTACTCCGTTGCTGGCATTGTTAACTTTTTGCTGTGGATCCTTGCAAAACGAGCAAGATTTCGCTCCATCGATAACTGTGCTGCCCTCTGCTTTCTGTTCGTTGTGCTTTGCTCCTTGCCACCTGATATTTCCTATAAAGTTTTTACGTGTGATTCAAACATCATACTGTTATAGGCATTCGTGCTCATTTCCCACTGAAATCTATTGCTTCCGCATGCCGTAGTGTTATTGGCTGGAAGGCAGCAAGGCAGACAGGCAGCATTATTCATTCGCTTTGCAGCATTAGTTAGTGGCTCATCTTCAGGCAGCGCGTCTTATGTGGTGGCGGTCGCCCGATTCCTACATGTATGTATGTATATTGGTGGTGTCGATGTTGTTGGCATGTGGTGGTGTACGGTGGTATTTGTTGCGGTCTGGTCTCTTACAGCACCGTCTCCATTTCCGCAATTTCCGTTTTGTAAGACCTTAATGAATACAATTTATTATTAGATTTTAAGCAAAATGGAAAACATGTAAAAGCAAAACGCAAACGGTTTAGCCATATTGATTATTAAGGTTGGGCACGTGTCGTGTTGTTGTTGGTGGTGTTGGTATTAGTATTGATGATTAAACATAACTGGGTTGTGTCGTCGCCTGTGCATTGAGTGACTGATATTCTTACTGACTGGGTGACTGACTGACTGACTCGCATGGCTTCTGGATTGATTAGTTGCATATGTGCTCGGGTGTGTGTGTGGTTGTGTGTACGTTTGTTTGTATTTGGATACTTTCGTAGTCTCTAACTGGCTGGCTAGTTGGCTCAACTATAGTCATATAGGTATATGCATGCGTATCTCTGTTGAAGGATTAGTAAACTAACGTGTACCCGCATCTCTGCCATTGTTTACGTGTATCTCTCTAAGGCAAATTTGCCTATTCGTGAAAATCCTTGTGGAAATGTTTTGATTGATGGCCTATTTGGCTAACCATATGTGTGTATGCTGTCAGTGGTGGTGATGAAGCTGATGGATTTGCGGCTGTTTTTTAGTATTTGCAGTATTCTCATTTCAGACGAAATGCGCATATTTTTTCGTATTACTTTACATAAATGATACTAACTACAAGTGTAGATGTGTATGATTATGACTGCGGCATGGGTGTATCCACAGTGTTTATTGCAAACAAATTGGCTTGTATTTATATATTTTTTGTGTTAAGCTGCTTCAAATTACGTAGTGCAAACACGGGTAAATAGACTAAATGATTCAAACTGTGTTTATCCTTGGAAAATAAACTGTTAACTACTTTGTATAGTGTAAAATTAATGCGTGCTATGTGCTCGTACACATACGTATAATATATGTTTACCTATTATTGATATGTTTATGAAATATGCTTGTAGATCAATGAAAAAGTATGAAAATTTATTAAATTTGTGAAATTTCTACGTGCACATATAATGTTTAAAAAATTGAAAAATTGAGTTTAAAACGGTTAATTGAAATTTCATGCTGAGCAATCTGATAAAACATGTGTATTTACAAAAACATATTTTCGATAAATAAAAAATAAAGCTTATCAAAAAAAATTTTTTATTTTATTTTAAATATATAAGGAAAAAATAATAGTTTTTTATGCATTCGAAATGATAATGAGCTAAGAATTTAAATTTATAAAATTTTATAAAGACATCATTGATATTGTAAATGAAAAAAATATTAATATAATTAAAATATTGGATTGATACTGCAGGATTAGTATTTTGTATATGCCAGTATGTATGTAATCTGTATTAAAAAAAGGAGCAAATACACTGTGAAAAACCAGACATGTTAAATAGAAATTAAAATCAGCTCAAGAATCGACCCCTTAAGGTGGCAATAAGTTGACCTACTTCTTACAAGAAAAAAAGGTTGATATACATAAATAACTTTCAAGTCTAATTAAAGTAACTGAATAATGCCTTTGAAAACATGAGTTGTGGAAAAATACTTTAAAATTTGGAACACTAAAAAAATGTGATGTAAACCGTGCATAAGGCATGAAAATACTCGTGACTTCGTCAATTTTACTCCATTCGATTTGAATAATATTCTTGAGATATTATGTATGCAATTAAGAAAATACAAATGCAAAACATGTGATATCACTTTAAGCACTTTATAATCTATTGTTAGATAGCATAATGTTAAATTAAGTCAATCGGCCACACTTTATTATTTCGATCTAGGTATTGTTTTACCTATACTACAGAACCTTATGTATATTTTAACAATGTATTTTTAATACCGAACTCTAAAAATATTAGCAAAAATCATAATTTTTTAGTATAAAAAGGAAACTACTTTGCAAAGTTAATTCTGTGTATTCACAGCATAAGAGCTCATCGAGAGATATTCCGTTCTTTTTTCGCAATATTTGAAAGTGTATTTATCTTAAACTTGGATGGAATGCAATCTAGAAGATTTCGTTTCGTATTTTGTTATATCAGTTAAATATGATGACACGTATTTTGAAGAACCGTTGGGACGTTGGGACGTTGGGAAACGTCAAAAACGCGATTCCACCGCTTTTATATGGAATCCATGTACTATTTTACAGATAAAAGAGGAGATCGATCCCCATACTCCCAAGGGCTTAAAAGCACAGTGAAGCTTCAAAATGCCAGTGATAATTTTGAAATGAAAGTTCAATATAATTCAGCGCTGACGAAGCCTGAATGCGAGGAGAGTAAAGAAAGGAGACATGTTTGGATTCGGTAGCGTCTGCACTAATATTAGACGATATTGATAATGATGGAGACAGTCTAAACGCAGGTGAGCAGAAATTTAGCCAACTTAATTATTTTAGCGATCCATCAGACGGGCCATACGAAAAGAGTATTATTGCTTGTGAAAGAATGATGATATTATTTTTTTTTTAGATTTCATTTATATACTTTAATATATTTATATAATCTTATTACTTCCAAGACGAGTTCTGTCTCTTTCTGCCAATACTTTGTAAATCCGGTAGGTACAACTCCGGTAGGTAACACTGGAAACTCAGAAGAATATGGTATGTTTACTTGTGGAATTCTCATAAGGTAAAGAAAGCATATGTTAACTCAAACAAGAAAATTCTTCAATGTTTGAGACTGTAGCCGGGAGTAGAATGTGGGAAGAAAAAGTTTATAACTGAAATAAACGGCTAGGAATATTGTACAATTCAATACTAATTCCAGAAAAATTGTTTTGTAACAAAATTGTGGTTTCAATACTGCCGTGTTTTTTCCGAATAAAAATATTACTAAAATACTAAAGCTTTTATTTTCATATATGGAAACAATTGTTTGTCAAAACCCCTTAGAATACAATGGAAAAAAATTGGATAAAAAGACTATATGTAATTTCATTTCATAAATTTTTGAAATTAAAGCTTTACACCTCCGAACAGTTACATAACAATATTAACTAAATATTATTACGTGAACTACGACCTTATGTGTTCATTTTATTGCTCAAACACACATCTGAGCTGTTATACATCCCTTGGGTTTCATTCGCTTATAACTAATTGTATTTTGCAAATAGGAATTTGCTTATCGTCCACAGCGCATAAACGGCCTAACTAAATACCCTAATCAATAATAATCGATAGCTCAGTTAAACGGTAATCCCTTAGCTAGTCTTTAAGCATCTTCGTAAATAACTTATTCATTGTTCTGCTATTAAATTAATGCTAAACATAAGGTATAACATTAATATTTATTTAGGACAGTTGAGGAAATACAGTTTGCTTATGTGAAGGCATGTGCGTATGTTAACTTAAATATTATTGTTGAGCTCATAAACATCCAAATTTAATAATTTTTATCGTGACTAACGATATCTGTATCTATAATTTAACAGTGAACTTTATTTTGAGTTTAAACTACCAAACAAAATTAAAAAAAAAAAAAAATATTAAATTTATAAAAAATGTTAGAAAAGAAAATTTATATGTTAGGCCTGAAAGGTTTTGAAAATAATAAAAAGCGAAAAATAATTAGTAATAGAATGAAATTCAAAGTAGAAGAAAGATAAAAGCTGTTTTTTTCGTAGTAACAGCTGTAAAAAAGCAGGTTGGATTCCTTTAGTGGGTTTTTTTTCATTTTCTGAGAAAATTTGCCTTAGTAATGTATATTTTTTTACAACATTAGAAAACAGAGATTTCAACGAACATAAAGATCACAAAATTAAGAAAACAGCAGATAATATGACGTTTTTAATTTTCTATTGAAAATTAGGGTCCTTTTTCGGTATCAATTCAACATAAGGAGAAAAATTAATATTTTTAATAAAAAAAACTAGGGTGTGTTTGGGACGTAAAACGGTTATTTTACACTAAATTTTATGATACCTACAACTAGCAGTTTCCGGTTGACTTGTCTTGGCTACTATAAAAAACGCAGAAAACAAACCCGATTGTTTTGAAGATCAATTTTGTTAAATAATTCAATTAAAAACGTTCGTAAATAAATAAAATAGGTATAAATAAAGCGTACATATATATGTAAAATTGATAGTCATTTTGAGGCCTATACTTGTTTCCTACATTCTGGCTTCTTTTTTTTGAACCTCTATTCGGGGAATTTCAGACCAATATTTATATGAAAATTATACTGAAATTATTGCAGTTAATAAAATGTTTGAATAAACGGCATATAATTAATACCTTAATGAAATAGGATACTATTAATGAATAAATACATGTAGCATAAAGTTTTTAATAAAATAATGAATAATAACGAATTTTGTATGATTTTTCCATTTACTTGCATGCATATTTTATGAGAAGCAAAAAGTTTACAATCGATTGGCACACTTTCGTTACTGAAATTTAAAGCTTTTCCATATAATATTTGCTCACAGGTATTAAGTTATAAGCACTTAGCTTTAATGTTGCGGTTTCATGCGAACCACAATTACAGTCACACTTTGCCCACATGCTTTTTGCACATTTATGGTCAAAAAACATATGTACAAATGAGAGTGTGTCGACCAAATATCAACGCTTCATTAAATATGTAGGGGTAAAAAATTGAAAAGGCAGAAATCAGTATTAATTTATGAACAAAATAAATAAAATATACGGCTTTACGATGAAAGCAATTGCATTATTGGGCAATGAATTTGAAAGCAATTAAAAAGTTTGTTGGTACTCATATTTTGTATTCAAGTGTATCTATGTAATTAAACAGATACTTAAATACATACTTATGTGTGTGCTGATAATAACTCACAAAACTTAATATAATCACATTAAATATGATTTTAATACTACTGAATAGCAAGCTTACAAATTTCATGGTAAAAATTTTGAAATGGAAAATTTGTAAAATATCTGCATATTAATTTTGAAACAACTATTATTTACTGCAACTTATTAGGAAAATATGTATGTGTACATAAGGCTAATTATGTATATAAGTATGTATGAATGTATGCAGCAAGCAAATCACTGC